GGTCTGACACCCCGGTAGGATTTCAGAGGGGCAAATGCGGCTGCTAAAGGTTCTGGGGAGGGGCTCCTGCAGCCCTTTCGTAGCGCAGTGCCAGGGTCACACGGCGGCCAAGGTTGGGCTGTGGCACTGCTCTGCCACCCCTGAGGCCGAGCCGGGCACGGAGGCCATCGCACGCAGCCGTGACCTGCTACGGGAGAAGGGCCCCTTGGGAAGGCAGTGGCAGCCGGCGGTCGCTGTTTGTGCCGCTGCCGCGAGTCCCTGCGCAGGGCAGAGCTGTGACCGGGGCCGGTCCCAGCAAGCTCGCCCGGGGCCGTGTGGCGATGGCCGGGGCTGCCGGGGCCGGTCCCAGCAAGCTCGCCCGGGGCCGTGTGGCGATGGCCGGGCTCCGCGCCCGCCGGACCCCGCCGCGCACAGTGAGGGCAGCCCGGGCCCGCGGGCGGCGGCGTGGCGCCCCCTGCAGGCCGCGGGGCCGCATGGCGGCGGCGTCCGGGCGGGAAGGAGGAAAGAGGGAGAAGGGGGAAGCCGAGGCCGGGCTGAGGCGGCCCGCGGGGCGTAACGCCGGGGCAGAAGTTGCTTGCAGGGCTGTGGGGAGGCATGAGGGGAAAGGGCGGCCGGCAGTGCACAGCCGGAGCGATCGGCTGCTCAGCCCTGCAACACGGACACCGTGCTGCTGCGAGAGGTGCTCGTCCCCGCGTTCCCGTGGTGTTCCCGTCCCAGCCCTGCACCGGCGCCTGCAAACGCTTGGCCAGATGGGGGGCACGGTGAAGTGCCCCGCGGCAACACAACAACCTGAGTCCAGCTCGGGTTCGGCCAGAGGATGGGGTAAGCCTGGACGGGGATGATGCTGTCACGGCAATCAGGGTCCAGGCAGCCCGGAGTGAGCCGGGGTGGGGACGGGGCAGCAGCCCTGCCCGCCTGCGTTACCTGCGCAGCAGCGTTACCTGGGTGGTGCCGCAGCCGCTCATCCGCCCAGCCGGGCACCCGCTCTCGCAGGATCCGACGGCCGTGACTCCTGTGATGCAGCACGAACACGGGACAAGGACAAGCTCCCATTAAATTCAAACAAGGCCGGCAGCCTTCAGCCACTTCATAATACAAAATGAAAGAACTTCTAACTACTCTGTTCTGGCGCTTTTCCAATGGTTTTTCCTCGTCTCTTCCCACCTAAGAAGGCTCAATCATTATCCCATCTACCAGGACATATACCAGTATCCTCATTAGCATACATCCTCTAGCAGCTTTTCCTGGGCTCTGGCTGCTTTCCCACACATGGCTCAGTCGCTTCTTTGGGAAGTGGTGCTTTAAAGGTTTTCCAACTCTTCTGGAAGAGTTTGGCTAAAACAAGGGAAGGATTCAGAAAGAACCAACCTATAACAGATCCCTCCTATGACAGAGTGGGGAGGTCACAAGTGCATGTGCTCCCAAAAGCTCCATTTCCACACTTGGTTGTGTTTGATAAGGACCATTTCATTCTTGAGATAGAACATGGAAATAAATCTGCTGCTGCCAAGCTCTCACAGACCACTGCCTCTTCTGTGTCATCAGAAATGAGGCAGATGTGGTACGAAAGATCCTCAAAATACAAAACCACATATTCTTCTAGCATTTGATCTTATGGTGTATGAACATCAACAAGTGAAGTGTGTTGGGACAGGTGGTATCTTGTTAGTCCAACCAATACGGGTTCTTCATAAGCCTCACCTTATAAAGTCTTTGCACATATTTTAACCTGTAGGTATTCTACAGTGGCATCTGTCCAAACTGGGACCAAGACCAGTGGTGGTTCCAGAGTATCTCATAGGTCATTCCTGAAGGGCTCCAGCTTGTCCCTGTATTGCTCAGACTCGGGATTTTCAAAGTTCATTCCTGTTGCTGCCCAGTGTAATTTTGGTTGGACCTTCTATGCTTCATGTCACTTCCAGTCTTCAGTCCTGCATCTGTTACTGCAGAGATTGTGTTGGAAATCTTTTCTCTCCAGAAGCATGTTTGGCAGAATGCTTAGCTCTGTCAAAACCAAAAAACATTGCAAAAATTAAGTCTGTTTTGCTGGAAATTTTAGTACTAAAGTAAACCAGAGGCTTCTGGATGAAGTCAAAACCTCAAACTCTTTCTGGTAGTTTTCCTTTTGTGAAATGTTCAACCTTCCTTAGTATTTATTGCGCTGGTGTGGTGCAGTACGGTTCTGCTTCTGGTTTGCAGCCAAATTTTCAAAATCTTTTCTGAAATAGAGAATAATATTTCCCAAATCATTAATAAACCACTTGGAAAGAACTGGGGTGGTGGTGGTGGGGTGGGTGTAGGGGGAAATACACCCCCTAAAACTGTACAGCAAGGTACCAGCAATTATATTCCTCAAATATGAAAGAATTGTTTAAAAAAACACCCACATATTTAAATTGTAAAACTTCAGTGAAATGAGGGTAGCAGTCAGAGTTGGAAAAAGAAAAAGCATTAGAACTAGCAGAGATTTTACTTGGAAATGACTTACATAAATGACTTGAGTTCAAAAACAGCTTTCGAAGTGAAATGATAAAATATTGCCTGGGCCTCTGTAGATAAACCAAGCCAAATCAATTACTTTTCTTCTATAAGTCATGACCACTTTATAAAGTATAGAGTGAGCAAACAGAGGCACTAATAATAAAGTGTTACAACTTCAACAACATTACTATATACAACATCCAATTTTGGGAGTAGGAAGCAGATGCCTTCAACAACAGGCAGTTGCCATAACTGAGGGTAGTGATTGTATTGAGGTTATATGTTCACTGGTTGCTTAAAGACAATTAATAGCCACATGTGCAAACAGTTAACAATTTATACAGCACATATCTAAATTAAAGGAATTAAACATCAGTGTTCTGCTACGAAGCACAGGTGGCTCAGCAATTGCCACTGTAAAATGAACAGGCTGGTTAGCACAGCCTGAACACAGGCTGCAGAGAGATCGGGAAGTGTAAAAATGGAGCTGAGCAGGTATCAGTTTGTAAAATAGCAAATGGGGTCACTGAAGATTGCTTTCTCCTGACTTCCCTTGCTCCTTCAGCAGTGCATGCACTCTAAGACTTTTCTCTCGTTCAGTAACTTGGCAATTCCATGGGCAGGTCCCTGCAGAGGAGAGAGTGGAACTTTGGGGTGATTTAGGCAACATTTGCAGCTGTGGTGCAGGCAGCCCCTCAAGACCTCTTCCAGCTTGGCTGGCTTGGTGAGCCAGAAGTGTAGAAATGCATGATTGCAAGGGTTTGCCAGCACAGGGCCTGGACTGTTGTGTGCAGCACGTGTAGCAGAGCCAAGGACCTCAGGTGCACAATCAGTACCTTTTACCATGGATCTTTACAACTGACTCTGTCTTCTGCTTGAACAGATAAAGGAGAGTTTTCTCCATATACCCCAGTTCCTTACTGCAATAAGAGAGCAGAAAAATAATGTTTCTTATACATAAATATGCTATCTTTTAGCAACAGATTGTAAGAAATTTGCCTAGTCTGGTCCTTGCTGTGAAAATACATTTTGTGCTAGTCCAAAGGCTACACCGAGCAGGATTTACAAAGCTTTATAAAAGTGGCACTCTGTTGCCAAGAGGGCAACTGTCAATGGATCAGGACTGCATGTGAATGTGTCATGTGGCTGCCCTTATGACTGTGGCTGTAAAAACAGGATGAGGACATCTTTGCCCCTTGGGTTGTACATCCTTGTGAAGAGTACAAAATCTGACATGAAAATGTGAAGATGCAGTCCCTGCTGCTGATCTCATGTGCCTGCTGCGTGGGCACTTGGGCATACTGCACCAATTCTCCAAGGAATAAAGGACAGGAAGCACCCAAAGGCAAAGTACCAGCTGCACAAACATGATAGTGTGCAGAGTGTATGGTACTCCCTCTTTTTCACCATTCCTCTGAAATATGCTGCACTTTAGGAGGAACACAGAGACAATGATTTACTTAACTCCATCTCTAGAGCATGCAGCATTATGGGTTGGTTGAGTTTGCTTCTTCAGTGGCTTTCCAGCTCTTGGAATAGTCCCTGCATGACTGGCTCCCAGCCCACAGTGCTCTTGGTGACCCCAGAGCGCAGAGACACATGGAAGAAGACTGTCCTACCCGTGAGAAAGGGCTGCTGGTGAAATCCTGCCATATAGCTCTGCATTTCTCACTCTACCTTTGAGTCTCACAAACTGGAAAATCCCACATGAAACATTCTTAATACAGAGAAGATCTTGGAGCTGCTAAACAGAGTTTAAGAGGACCTGTGAGTCACAAAACAAGTGGCTGCATCCTTCTTCTGCTGGAATTAGTTGTGCTTATTTGGGCTGTGCCTTTGTCCACGGACAGGTTTTGTACTTGTTCACCTCAGAAGTCAGTGCTCATAAAAATATTGCTAGCAAGAAGCCAGTACAACACACACAGAGCTTATTGTGAAGGAAAAAATATTAAAATATTTTATTATTATTATAGGACCAGGACTGTTGAATTAAGATAGAGGAGAACCAACACTGTGACAGCACCATCCTACAGTGACAGGTTTCAACAAAACTTATCCACAGAGCCAGTATGAATGAGGAAACTGCACTGACCCTCTAGGCTGTTCTTTGGGCAGTTTTAGCTACTACCTCACCTTGATAGCAGCAGGAGTTTCAATCAGCTGTTATTCTCAGATTAGCTGTTCTTCCAGGTGCTCCTCTTACTCCACTATTCAAACTGCATGAAAACAACACAAATCAGCATTAATCTTACAGGGTATATACATAAGAGAGCAGAGGAGAGAAAACAAACCTGGAATTTCAAGCACTGCACCCCAAATCCCTTCATCCCCATCAATTCACCAATCCAATCTGAGGAGGAAAGTTAAAAGCATTCATCTACCTGGGGCAGCATCTCAGGCTTGTATGGTCAACCCCATGCTGCTGCCCTGTGAGAAGGAAACTGTCCTCAGAGCCAGTACTGACTGGCTGAGCTCAGTCCTCACCCTGTGCCCAAAAGGGAATTCCCTGCAGCATCAGCTGTTAGCAACCAGCATCATACTGGGAGTATGCATCAAGTGAACTGGAGCCTCAGTGGAAAGGAGGCACTTGAGCTATTTCTCATCTACTACTTGATCCAAAAGGGAAACATTGACTGGGAATTAGAAGCAGAGACTGGTGAAACTGTTCTTCCCCAGTGCAGCCAAGCAGGGTTGATGTTGTGGGGAACCTGTCCCACCAGCTGAAACCTCTGTCCCGGGAGAGCTGTGCAAACACTGGGACTCACCACAGCAACCTGCCACTGCCCCTTTCCACAAAAGCACCACAGGCTTTCAGAGCAGCTCAGAATCAGCTTTCACCAGTTCTGCACATTGGTCAACGATTCCGCCTCAGCTGAGTATCTGTCTGGGAGACTGGTGGGACAGCAGTAGACAGAAGAAAGTTCTCCCAAATGATTAGTTTGGGTTTTTTTCTCCTTTTTCCTTATCTCCCATTTTCTCTCCTCTTCTGGCTGCTGCATACAGGTAGCAGATTTTTCAGACATAATGTTTTATTTGCTCTTTCGGCAGACTAATGTATTCACATTTCCAGCCCATTTCATTTGCTAACAAATGTGGGGACGAATAATTGTGTTATCAAAGAACAGTACTTTTAAGAGTCAGGATGGGGCAGTTTTAAACCATAAGAAATATAATTGTGACTCAATGCCTCAAAGCTACAGAATTGAGAGAAAACACATAATTCCATGTTCAATGTACTACCTTTTCCATGTGCACACTCCCTACACCAGAAACTTTGCCTAAACATGGAGTTCTTGTGTGTCTCTTTGAAAAAAGCAAAGAACACCAGGTAACCCAGGCAAGCAATCAAACCAACCCTGTCCCCCTACCCAGACAAGACATGTTTCAGCTCTATTCCCCATGCAGGGCTCTAAAACCAGTTCATAAATATTTCAATGGCCCTTTGTAATTTGCCATAAACGGCATGCCTGTAGTGGAAAGGTAAGGTAGCAGAAGGTTAAAGCATAATCTACAGGTCTGCCTAAGGCCTTGCACTGATTTGCTTTCTGTTGTCAGCTTCACATTTCAGGAAAGCATTTTGATAAGTAACAAGTATATAATGGATAATAAAGTATTTTCTGCAAAATCTTAAAGCTTTCCTGGGCAATGTTATGAGCAAAGCACCCAGTTAGAAAGTTGGGTTCTGTGTCCTGGTTCATGGAACTGGGCCATTAGATATGAAATAGTGTAAAATTTACAGGAATTCTGAGATCTGGCAACAGTTTCAGTGCCTATGGCCTCTTTCACTGGCTCTTCTTGTCTTTCAGCTGAGATTCTGAAGGCTTTAGAGGTGGGTGAATGTTGCCCTTCAGCAGCACTTGAAGGACTGATAATGCTTTCAAGGAAAAAAAGCAAATGATACTACCCTGTCAGAGGGAAAAACAAGGTCAATCATGCTATGCAAATCAGCTCTCTGTTGGAGAGAAAAATCAAAACAGAGGAATCTGCTACCCTCATGGTACAGACTGAACATGAATAATCAAAACCTAATTCCTGCTTGATTTTATCACCAGAGAGGGTGAAAGAGGAAAATATATGGGTGCAAAAATACTTGCATGAATATGTAATGACTTTGGAAACATCTCAGTGCATGAAAAATAAATTTGTCACTATAAAGCCCTGCATTTTCAAACTAACAGTTCAGGACCTCTGAGGACCTGGCATCTAAACAGTTTTTTGCTGGCATCTATGTAAGAAGCATTCTGGCTCTGAATACTGTTCCTAACATTTTCATTTCAGTTCTTGACAGAAACCAGTACATGAAAGGAAATACTCCAGTGCTGAAAATTCACCTGTAAGATCTCATGTCAGATGAATAGTACTTGTGTATTTCTAAGTTTTTAATTAATTTACTATAAGACTTGATTACAGCTTACCAAGCCATCTGTCAAAACAAGATTCACTTTAACTATGGAGCAATACTTACTGCAGATCTTGCAGAAATCCATGCCTCACACATTCAAAAATCCTGCTTCAAGGCCCTTGGCCTAGGAGAGTGACAAGAACAGCAACAGGCACCACCCCCAAGCCAGGAGGAGCTCTAAATGGTTGCAGGGCAGAAGGAAAGCCAGGAATGAAAATGTGAAACCCACTAGGATACCAGAGGAGAACCACACAGCTTATTATAGAAATGCCAAATGCCTGAAAAACATTTCAAACCATTAGCAAATATTTACTTGAAGATTCTATTCAGTGACCCAACTGACTGAGTAAAAACAATTTTGTCTTCAGTGCTTATTGAAAGAATGGACACAATGCTCATTTTCAATTCAAATTTTACTCCCAATTGCACAAAAGTTGAAAAGATTTTTTTCAAATTTTGAAAACCAGCATAATAATTTTGGTTTCATATATAAAACAGTGAAATCCAAAGAATACAGAGTCGTGTAACTTACATGTTCCAATATTCAGCTTTAAAGTTTTCCCCAACTTTATCTCATACATTGATTATTTTCTACATTATCTGCTTCTCAAATTATAACTCTGTACAATACCCACAGACATCTAGGGTTAAAATATTTTGAGAAAAGACTATGTTATGGAAGGTTCCAATGCTAATACAGATTACAGTACAAATTAACAAGTCAGAGCATTGCTAAGAGTTTATTCAGAAGCTTTTTACTTTCAGTTCTTATATCACAAAAGACATGTTTAATGTTTACAACAAGTATTAGAAACTGAGATGTTTTTATTTCTACTATTATAAAAGTAACATAGGAGACTGTTCTAAGCCATCTTCAAAATGCAGACCAATCTTTTTTTTTTTTGTATATAAACTGTACACAAAAAACAAGGCACTATACATTTTTGGATAATAAAGTATAAAGGTTGATTTGCATCGTTTCTCAAGAAATCCATGCTATAAATACAAACGCTTTGTTCGGTTTAGCACCTGAAGCAGCACTGAGAACAATTATTAACTATTGCAAAGAGAAACTTTTCAGAATGCAAAGGAGATACATATGGGTGGTATAGCTAATTCAGTAAAAGCAACTGCCATCCAGCTGCTTTTCTGTAGTTTTGACATGGACGTCTTGAAAGTGAATATATATTGCATTGTTAAATACATACTTGTTCTATGTGTTTATATAAATATAAATTCTTTGTAATCCACAAACTAACAAAATAACACTTTACAAAGAGAACTTCTTTAGAAACAAAAATGGCAAGTATTGGATATAGCCAAAGGACACCTGCAGCAGTAGCTCAAGAAGCTACTGTTTAAGTGCATAGGAGAACAGAGCTTAAACACATTACCTTTAAGAATCAAAATTTAATTCCATCTTCAAAGAGTTCTCTTGGCCTTTTATTATAATATTACACACCTCCAGATAGGTAGTCACTAATAACTTCAGATTATTTTTATTTGTTCTGTAAATGTAGGGTACAATTCTTCTAAAGGACATAGAAAGTGAGAGTGGACATCCCTTTAGTGCTCACGTCCATAAACACAGCTTAGAAAAGTCCTTTTGCCTTCTTCAGGTTAACCTGCTTCCAAGATGGCAGTGCATTGTACTCCTCTCTTGTCATCTCTAATGCAACCTGCATTTAAAATGAGAGGATGTACTATTAGCAAAAACAACTGATGAGTAGCACAAACAGCAAATTACTTTCTTGCATGGTTAGGCATAGATGCACAGAGTTAACAGTGCACCTATTCTCTCCTTACCTCAAAGTCCTCATCTGAAAGGTAAATTTCAAGCTTCAGTGGATCAACTCCCTCAGGCAGAGGCCTAGCTAAGAGATCTGCTAATGGATACACTGTTTTACACAGCTTGGCCAGCACATCCTCTACAAGTATTATCTGATTAGAAACATCAGCATCCTGGAAGGAGAAAACAAGAGAATAGGATCACAACGCTGAAACCATCAACTGTACCAATGGCCATCTCCGGATGGCATGGGATAACCTGCCCTGCCTGAGCACAAAGCTGTATGTCCAAATGTGCGCACAGGCCAACAGACCTGCCCTACAACAATTTCACAGCTAAAAACTGGTCTGCATTTAGCAGAAGGATATCCTGTACTCCCAGAATCTCAGTTTAAGGCTGAAATCTGTTTACTCATGAAGCCAGCATTTCCTACTATGGATGGCTGCAGAAGACTTACAAAACAGAAAACGTCATTGTGTTGAGATGCCCCTTCATTGAAAGCTTTTAAAGCAGCCTCATGTAATTTGGCTGTGACTCTGAATCCCAGGTGAGGAAGTCAGTAACAGAGCCCTTGGAGCCAGCTGATCCTTCGAGAGGTGTTTTGCTCCCCTGCACTTTGAATGTGGGGAACAGACCAGAACTGCTGCATCATTGCTGCATGACTAAAACAGCTATTCTGTTAAACTCAACCTCTAGCACATCTCTTTCTAAGAGATGATTCAAGTAACACTTCCCTTATGTTTTTAACAAAAAATGAGAAGTTACACGAAAAATAAAACAGCAGTGCCTCTGATATACATATTCCCAGTCAGAATTTAGAATTTAGCTGTTCATTTTTTTCCTGTGCAGACTCCCAATTTGCGCTTTCTAAGTTTAACCTCTGGATCGTGGGGCTTGACAGTGGAAACAACCAATGTTACTGACAACAAAGACACAGTTACTAGCAATAGGAAACAGATTATGCAATGAAAAGATTTACCATTTCTGTGATCTCTGCGATGTCTTCCCTGTGCTCCCAACTTGGGAACATATTAGTGAACGTCAGAGGCTCTAGGCCAGCATGAATTAGATACGATTTTGGGGGCTTCTTTACATTTTTTCCTAAAAACAGTCAAAATACAAAAAGAGAGAAAGAAATAACAAAAAGTACAATATTTTGAAATCTCACCTACTATCCAAAGTTACCTCCTAAGGCTATTTAATTTTTTTTCCTGAAAAGCTGAAGCAGTTTAAGGGAGAAAGAATAAATTTTCCAGCATTTCTTTTTAATTAATATGGGACCTTTTAACATGTTTTGCATTATTCTTACACCTGCCTTTTACTGTATCTGACTGCAAAGATTAAAACATATATGCTGAAAATCCTCAATGGCTACTTCTAACCCAACGTGTTTCTTATCTTAAAGAGACTTTCTTACCTAAAAATAGACTTAGACTAGAGTAAGCAGACTGTAATGGTCTGAAATTAGCCAAATTCAGGTAAATGAAACCTTCTGTATGCTTAGCAGAAGTGTCCTGCCAACAACCAAGCTTAAGCTTGGAGGCTCTTAAGTGAGAATGTTTAAACTGTTAACTTGTGATTCTGAGGTGTAACACATTTTAAATAAAGGCTTTCCACTGAGAGTGGAGTCAGTAGAGAATCTTGGCAATTTGGGAACAATGCTGTTACTAGACAAAGGTTTTGCTAAGAAAGAGTGGAGAATGTATCATTAAATAAACTGATGTTTATTGATAGCATTGGGGGAGCACCTTTCAGCTCAGGATAGAAGGCATGGAAAGGTGTGACACACTCAGAGCAGTCAGGCACAGCAGTCTGTTACCTTTGCAGTACCGGAGCACTGTCTCCATGGCGCATTTCCTGTCTGTAGCCCACCTGATTCGAGCTGATCCAGTGATTTTGTTCTCCACAGGCCACCAGCCTTGCCATAGGTACACTTCATGGTGATTGTCAACAAGGAAAAGTGCTACACAGTCAAAAAATAACAAATCCATCATTAGGCACTTATTAGTTTTGTAATCCCCTAAACAACCCCAGTCTCATATTCTTGTCTGCATCACAACAGGATCATTTCACACCTTACCAGTCCCTTTTGTTAATCACCTGGCTAAACTTCAGCTGGACTTTGATTCTCTGATATAAACAATGTATTTTTACAGCAAGCTTCTGGGATACATACATACACTTGATTATTTCTCAGCATCTTCATCATGGAAAAATTACTGTTATTGCTTAGTACCGCATAAGCATCACATGCACATATTTTCCTGTGATATATCAAGTTAAAAGTGCTTACAATTACTAAGACACTGCCTGATGCAGGATATAGTCATCTGTTTTCTTGTTGCTTAAGTATTTTAAAGCACATACCTGGCTGTGGGGCAGTGTAAAGATCCTCTTGCAAGAATGGCATGGAATTGATGACAGCAGGGTCTCTTGAAGGGTAAACATACTCAGTGGCTGAGAATTCTCCTGATGAACTACTGAGGCTGAACAGGCGGGGTGTGAAATTAAACTTTCCAGGATCTTTAAAGAACAAAAATTACGAAGAGTCACAAAAAAAAAAAAGTTAGACTTAATTACAAAAACTAACAATACACTTAAAAAGTGACTGTAAGTTTTCTGGGTTTTGAAAAATCAGGAAGGACAACCAGATGTCTTGAGGGACTAGCAACAGCTGTAAAGAAGCAGAGCTGAGCAGCTGGCTGCCATCAGTCTGAATCCGATCCTGGTTACTTACTATCAGCCATTTCATATCTGGCTGTTTTGCAGCTTAAGTGAAGCAAACCCATCTCAGAGTTAGCTGACAAATTTTCCACTTGGTAAATCAATTCCCCTGCTACCTCTGTTGGCAGTTTCAAAGCAAAGGCTGGATGGGAAAGTGTGCAGAACGGCCGCTTAAACCCCTTCAGAAGAGAAGCAAAATATACTGGTAACCGTGTTAACTATTGCTCTGTGCTTCCCGAATACAAAGGGCCAGCACAAGCGGGGGAGAACAAAATGAAACACTTGGTTTTCCAGTACTTTCCTTCTAGAACAGTATTAACTCAGTAAAATATTTGGAAGCATTTCTCTGAAGAACTCAACTACCAAAAAGTTCTTCAAAAACTTTACATTAAATCAGCTCTGTAGACCAGTGAAGTAAAATGTGAGTGCCAAAGCCAGGAAGGCAGGTCTACCTTGCAACATGCAATCATAGGCCTTCCGATCTCTCCTCCCCAATGCGTCCCAGAATCCCAAGGGCTCTGACCCTTCATCACATTCATGAATTGTCACCTTGCTGCTGCTGTGCAGCCCTGCCTCCAGAGGACACCTACAAAACACAAAGAAAGAGTGATCTCGGTGTTCCTGCCCCAAACACAGCTAACACAAAACTGCTGTCCACTCGCATTAGTGGACCCCAAAAGTACCCTAAAGGTTTGTTGTAGACTTCATGCCAACACAGGCACTTTG